AGAGAGAGAGAGAGAGAGAGAGGAGAAAGTTAAATAGATAAATAGATAGATAAGTTTACGTTATTAATTAGATCGATCATCAATTTCTCTAAATTTAACAACAATAATGCTGCATTATTATTTATTTATTTAATAAATTTTTCAAATCTTTTCCAAATATTTCTGTTTTAAAAATTATGTGTATGTGTGTGTACGTGTGTAAGAAGACTAGAAACGTCCTCCGGTATGGTCTAGTGGTTAGGATACCTGGCTCTCACCCAGGAGGCTCGGGTTCGATTCCCGGTACCGGAATTTTTTTTTTATTTCTATAATATACACATTTTATATATGTATATATTTTTATTTAAATATATATGAACTTTTTTCTCTCAAACACATAAAAAATAAATTTAAAAAGCATTATAAAACTCAGCAAAAATTATTCCTGCGATGGCCGGGAATCGAACCCGGATCAACTGCTTGGAAGGCAACTATGCTAACCATTACACCACCATCGCAGATACGTAGCCGTACTCTCGATCCAAATGTAACTCATATTTCAAAATAGTGAGCATTTAAATATAAGTCTAAAAGTAATTAGACTACTTCGCATAGTAATTGTTGCTTTTCGTATATTTTGCTTTCTACATTTTTTTATCTTATCTTTTTCTCTCTTCGTCTCTAATTTCGTCTCTATTGTCTTGATTATAAAGTAATTTCAAAATTTAAAATACAATATCAGTTAAAAATCAAATTTGAGTCGACATATATTTACATAAGAAAAAAATTATCTTTTCTTCTCTGTTTTCTTTTTTGCGAACTAATTTACTTATATCACACGAAAACAATTTTGTTATTATTTAATCAACAAGAAAAATTTGTTAAACTTACTGGAGTTTTTATTTCATCACAAAATGTTTTATGGCAAAACGAAAAATTCAATAGTTTAGCAAATTTTTTCTTTCCGGCCATATAGTAATTAATCTTCTTGATTTCTAGCAAAAATTTTTGTCTGCATCTATTTCTTTAGTTTATATGAATAAGCATTGATTTATTTTTATTTTTCTGTGCAATTATTTAAAAAAATCGAGTTATCAATGTCAGACAACATACATAATTAATAATTCGTCACCACAAATTGCAGCCAATCATGCGATACTCTCAATCTGTGGTGTTTTCATCGGCATTTGGCAGTTCGCGCACAGAAATGCGTATCCACAAACGAATTTTTCACATGCAATATAACTGCTAAATACCAACGGATAATGAACGCATGCGGCGCATTGTTTTCCGCTCGCCAATTAAGCAGCATTACCGGCCCGAAATGATGTGCTCGCCAATTAAACAGTATTATCTGACTCAGATGCGAATTCTTAAAGCTGTCGACTAAACTGCACTTTTATCTGGAATAATTAAACAACTTTAGATGCAACCTCAATAATCTCGAGTGCATATTGTGCAGAAGGCTTTATGTCTCCCTCAGACCGAAAAGCAAAGTGAGATTAAAACTTGCCTTTAGAGCGCTGTACAATGTGAGTTACTCGAAGTGTCAGATAAATCTGACGATAAAGTCTTGTCTCAAAAATACTAAAAGAGAAAAATACTCGTTCCAGCAGTAATGCGTAGTTTTGCGGCATGTAACAATGTATTGAAAAACGTTATAAAAACTAAAAAAAAAACTTATCATATGAATTACATACACTATTTGTCTAGAAATAAGAATCTCTGTGTTTTATTTGTAAAACTTCGGAAATAACATGTTACATGTATTATCTCACAAATATGATAGCGATTGCAACGGTCTTTAACAGATTAGATTAATTTAAGATTGTCGATAATTCTCACGACTTAGCAAAACTATTTTCGCTTGTTTACTCTGATAAATACACTGCGTGCGTTCTCCGATATATGACGGACGATATCAGAATACTAGAACGAAATGCTTGATTAGTCACAGTAAGCTATTCGCGCCGACAAACGGAGATGCAATTCGGTATTCTCTCTCACACAATGCGAGACACAATGCAAATTTGATTACGTTAGAAACAGCATTTGGCGCTCAACTCACATTAGCCGCGCTCTGATTATACTAACCCGATTAATTCGTCGCGAATTTAATATTACGAATAACTTTGCGCGAAAGATCTGTTCTCTGAAAATACGTGCGATGTGTTCCGCGTATTTTTGTAATAATTTATTTACAGCAAAAAATTCGTTAAACCTAACAAATTTTTCAAACAAATATGGATAAAATATTATAAATACTTCATATTTCCGAAGTATCAATTTATGTTTGTTTCCAGAGTTTTTATATCTATATTTTTTTCTAATATAATGTATAATATCGATCGAATCGCAAAACGGAAAAAGAAAATTAATCTAGATGAGAGAAACACAGTGAACACAGAGCATGGGGTACAAAAATATAAGACATCGTGTTGCTACATAATGGCGTTAGACCAATCAGAAATTTGCTCTCATGAGAACAGACGCGAACTAATTGAGAATAAAAACAAGACGTCATTCGGTGCAACTTCATGTGGGAGGATATTTACGGAGAACGTCCTCTTCGTTGCATCGAGCGTTTAAGGTCGCGCAAGTTTTTGCTGATTTTCTGAGCGAGCCTCTCTTCGTTAACATCTTACACAATATTTACATCGAGAACGAAGGATTGCAAAGCAAAATATAAAATACGGAGTTTTGTTGTCGTCGAAGATATCGAGATGTGTCAAAACAGAGTTTGTATTTGTCGGGTTTCGTACGAAGCCACGCGCAGTTCGCGCCATTTTCTCGCAATACAAGTAAGTCCGCGATTACGAATGTACGAAACATCAACATTCGAGACTAATGATCACTTTCAACCGATTAACATTAATCGGCCGATTATATTCTGTCGGAATTAACTTAATCGCATTAGTCAATTAGCCGAATTGATCAATCATAGTTGACGCTTACTAAACCGATTAACTTAATCAAAGACAGTTAAATCGGTCCTGTAATCCCGAGTGAGTGTTATTTATCTCGCGTAAATCCGTGCGTAATCGTATAAAAATTTTCAAAGTGATCGTCGAGAATCCGAATCAAAATAGTGCAACAGAGAAAGTTCGCGCCATTTCCGAAAATTCAAACTCAAACTCAGCTTCCGAGAATTCAGCCGAAGCTAAACGACGACATTAGACGACGCGGTCCGAGTTTGAACGAACAAGACGAATTCTACCACAGTTTTTCTAACAGCGCACGGAGTAAAACAACGCAAGTTTGTTTCTTGATTTGTGTGAAACTTTTGTTGAGTTAAATGTTGAACATTTCGATCGCCCGATGTGTGTTGAGTTTCAATCGCGAATTGGTGAAGCGATCGGTTGTTATTTCGAAGAGCGGGTCGAACGAAGTGCGGAGCAAAAGTGTTTCTTTCGGTACCGTGTAAAAACAGTGATTTTTCGACCGTTTCGCGGCCATTTTCGGAAGTGATTCGAATATCACGAGTGTTTGTGAAAAGTGCGAAGCGAAAATATTGGAATATTGCGGATTGGCGTCCCAGTGTCGACACGATCTTCAAGATCTTCAAGAACGGGAGCATCGGAGACTCATCGAGACGATCTGCAACATGTTGCGGTTTTTTTCGGTCGACGACACGGTGAGTCATGTAACGTTAAAAAAAGATGTAAATATTTATATATTTCTACAAACGAAATCAATGTCATTTACACTGAATAAAACAACACATTATCTCACAATATTTTTCACGCTACACTATAATTTGAAAGAACAAAACAAACTAAATGTAGACAAACATAGAGAGACGATGATAACGTGTTTTGATTACGCTCGCTCTGGACGATTAATCATACGATTTATCTCGGAAAGATATCGAAACGCGTCGCGAGAAGAGAGACGGACACGCACAAAAAGAAAGACGAGGGAAAGTTCGCGATATACCGCCATTTCGAGTCGAGATCATTAGCGGATATCGCGATATTGTGTCATCGTTAAATAATGAACTAATGACAGGGAATGAGTCCATTTCCTGAGAGTGACTTCGTGTGATAACACGCGCGCGCCAACTTGAACCGAATTACGTTGATAAAAATTGATAAAAAAGGAGCGTTAAGATACGTGTATATGTACGCGCGGCGCTCCACTCGGCACGCCTTATCCTTTAATTATAAAAAAAAATCTCATTAGAAAAATGCACGGCTTGCGCGAATTACGACCGGCCGCGATCACCTACGATGCGCATTATCTGCGGATTTGCATATCGCGTGTACATGCTCGTACGTAACAGGGGACGTATGAGCACAGGCGCCGCCGCCGCTGTCGTCGCCGCCAGCGCACACCGAGTGTGTTTGTGCAACGAATTACAGAGTACGACGATTTCTTCTGCACTTCCACTCTAATTGCTGGACGCCAAAAAAATTACGCTTTCCGCGTGCGTATTTCAAAATTGCTGGCGGCGCCGAAAGTCCGTCCGTGATTTCACGGTGTGTGTTGGTACAGTGAGATAATGTGTTCATTTTTTTAATAGCAAGAGAGATGTACGTGATTCTTTTATAATACATACCGAGATATGTTTGTTATTTTTTGTTTTTATATAGATACATTTTTAAACAGATCTCTCTCTCTCTCTCTCTCTTTATGCTCAATTTGTGAAAAATTATACAATTCTGTTTTTGCTTTTGCAAAGTACGAGAAAAGTTGATAAAATAACGCGCAATTAACAGAGGATAAAAGAACATATCACCGTGCAGAAATTCAAAAATATCTGTCTAATGATTCAAAGATTTTTTTCTGTATTTTATCGCGTGAATTTCCTTCCTGTGCTTGAACAAACAAAATTATCGGACTTATGTATATCTATGTAACTGATACTACCTCGCGCATCTCTTCATTGCTCGTGCTCGAGACTGCCTGATAGCTTCGCGTTCTACTTTCGGCAACTTCCATGAGAGTTGGCGAATTCAGGTTCATTGCCCGTTTCGATCGTTATTTATTCAAGTTTTGTTTGCGCTCTGTCTGGGAGACATATAGTTTTTTTTTTTTTACCTTTATCGGCAACAACGAGTACACGCAAACATTATCAAGAAAAAAATATCCATGCAGATGAACCTTGCATTCAAATAATGTTTAAACAATAGAGTAATTGGATATAAATATTAGATAAAATATACGAATATTTTTAGAGAGTCAATCTTTTGAACAATTTAGTGTGTTCAACACTGCTAACCAAAAGCAAGCAAATCTTGTGTACATATAAATTTTCACTATTAAATGTATTACGTAAACTATACACACATGTACACAAAACACTCCGTGCGTGAAACGTTTCCTCGGTGGCGCAGGGAATATATGTTCGGCATTTACTATACAACGCAATTCCATTAGATTCTCTGCTAATTGTCAATTGACAAATACAAAGCCATTGTCTAATCTCTATCTCCTCGGTCCTTCCTCGAATGAACTGCGAGAGGACATTCGGGGGAGGGGGAGGGAAGGGGAAGGACGAAGCCTCTTAGCGCGTACGATCGATTCCGCACTAGTCCAAGCACTTCAAATAGTGCGATCGTGGTATGCGTTCAGGAATGGCAATAACGTTGATAGGATAGTAATATGATTATCACCTGCGCAAGAGGGCCCGATAGTGGCGCTACACGTATAATTAGAGACAGGATTGAAGGGGCGAAACGAGAGCGGGGGGTGGCGGAACGAGGGAGCAGGGGGTTGGAGAAGGGTACGCAAGTATAATGCCATGCAAATACAGCTCATCACTTGGTCCGCCAGGAATGGAGTGCATTAATCCGCTAATGCACATGGGTCCCGTAAAATTAGATTCGGCCAGATTTAGTTGGAAATGCGATATTTCAGTGACGACCGAATTTCCAACAACTGACTGCCGGCGGAGAAACGCGCGACGATGGCGTAAACAGCGAGACCCCGGCTTCTGTAATGCGACTGCCGCCGTGAAACGTTGTTACTGTGTAGTCAGTCAGATTAATCGCGATATATTGCGCTCTCGATCAATGACGCGCGGCAACATCTCTCTCTTATAAACATCCACACTTCCCTCGCTTACGACAAAAATGCGCGCGCTAACAGCACGCGTTTGGTCTTCGCGACGACCAATAACCGTGTCGCGCATTAACACGCATTAATATTCATGCGAGTTAGTATGGTTATTGTCGTGCTGCAAAACGAGCGCGATCACTCCGATACAGCTAAATATCGTCGCGAATAACCCGACCACGACGACTAGGTGCGAGTTCCTTGCTGTTCTAACAGATGGCTGTACGATGGCGTGTTTGATCATCAATTTGTCAACAGGTATTTTTGCGCGCGCTCTCTCTTTGCCAAAATGAAAATAAAATATTGTTCTTTAATATTCTATGATCGCAAATTATCTTTTAATTGTCATTAATAGTTATTTCGAACTATATGTGTGTGATGGGGACAATAATGCAAATAATAACTTGCGGTAGAGCAAAGCTTCATATAAAAGCGGGCGCTGAAAAACGCGTTCAACAATAAAACGAGCTCTTCTTCGCGTATAAAAAAAGGTTTTGTATTCGAAGATTCTTTTGTGGCTCTCGCGAATAAATATTCACGTTTCCGTATGGCGTTTTATTTCCCAGAAACGATAACGCCGATTTCCGTCGTTTTTTAACGACCCTCGAATTTCACGTGCGCTCGTTTCTCTATCAGCCTATCACGGATTCGGATGTTTCTCCCCCGGTGTCGTGTTTAGAATCCACCTGAACTGTCTCTCTCTCTCTCTCTCATCCCGCCGTCCACGAATTGCCCGACCCCTTCTTCGCGCGCGCTTCCTCTCGCCCGAACGTGGGATTACTCGCGTCCAATTAAATTTAACGAATTTCCACGGGCGCGAACGGCTTTATTGGTTTCATTAATTACGCATGCATCGCTCTCTATGGAGCCCGGGTTTCTCCGAAACGTAGGCACGTTCGGCCGCTACGTATAGAGCAGTCCGCAATCGCAACTGTCATTTCTATCACGTGCGGATCAGGGTTTACGCAGCTTTGTAGCGCGATCCGCTATTTGATAATGAAGATAAACCATCCGATAGGACCGATTTGCACACAGAATTATTCATTAATTAAACTCTCGAACGGTAGGTTCGATGAATAATTGCTGTTGAATATAATCGATTGTTTCAAACGGAATTATTAAACTATTAGTTATGAACAATATTGTATTGTGCAGCAGGAATGTTTAACATCAATTACGCGATAATAATAATAATTTTTTCTCAATTGTTATCAATTTCTACGCTTCTGTGCACTTGTATTATAGTCGTGTACTTCGTCTAGATTACCTATATGTTGTGTAATGAGGCACTAGTCGTGTACATACAACGCGTGTACACGTCTCTTTACGCACAATCGCAGTCGATTTACCTTATTATCGATATTCGCGTGTGTTCTATAAATAGTAAATCGAAATAGAGAGAGCCCGAGCGATGCGGTGGAGCACGACTGAAGCTTGTTGCAGTTGAACACACACCCCGTGGGATTCGCGCAAGAGTATAGGAGGAATTTGACGTGCCACTGCTATTCCGAATTCAGTAATTAAATATTTTCCGGACCGAATTGAACGGTGATGCGACTTCGAATTTATTATTTTGACGCAATATCAAAGCGACACGGCCGCTTTTCAATAGTCGAGAAGCGCTAGATTCGCGCTGATCTAAAGGTTAGTTTGAAAAAAAAGTTTGCAAAATCAAAATAACCGGTTATGAAAGAGGAAAAGCAGGATTGAGATAGCAGCTGAGTTTAAAATATCGCAAGGCTATGTATAGATTTATTCTTCTTTGTTTTATTTAAACAAAATATTTCTCTCAATAAGACAAAAATTATTTTTAATCTTTTCATCACGAAGTTTTAGATTTATTTATTAAAAATGTAATTTTACATATTTACATATTTTCTCTGAAATGATGACACTGATGGTTTTATAATATTTTTTAATGCATCTTTTCAATTGTTTTCAAGTATCCGAGATCGATTTCGATACGAAATTTCAAATTCACACTATTTGGAAGATTAAAATAATACAGACAATAGAAAATAATGATAGATGTTATAGAACATTTTATCAACAAAACTTGATTCTTCCGCACTTATCTGTGTGTCTTTTCTTTTTTCATCTGACTCGAGAAAAAAATATTAAAAAGTTGCATGCAAATCGGAAAGCGTATCCGTCAACAATGCGAAGAAAAAACGTTTCCTTCGTCACGTCCGTGTGATGACTTCAAAGTGCTGTCAGAAGTACAGGACGAGCGGCAAACATGCGAGATCCCGGCGTACACTGGTCTATCGACACGAATATGCTAATGATCTCGTGGCGGGTTAGTTATGCTAATTTCTCTATGATTCATCAAGAGCAAACATATGTTGTCTTGCATTTTATTCTGACCACCTGCGAAGGGTTAATTGTCGATGAATTATTAATTTGCAAACAACCCGCATATTGCATGTAACTACGCTTTAATCGTACCGATGTCCCCTTGCAAAACTTTCACTTTTATATAATAGTTGCATTGAATTGCGTACGTCCGTACTGTTTCTACGTCGACCATCTAAGCTAGCAATTACAATATTAAGTAAACAGAGTCGAGCCTATATATATATTGTTGCTCCTTGATGACATTATTTAGTTAACTTTATATAATTACTAACATATAGAAAATCCATAAATAGATTATCCAATTACAAAGCATTCTTATTTATATCTGAGAGTGTTTTTTTATTTTAATTGTATCGTCAGATTAAAATAATAATATTTATTAGTCATTTTCGTAATTATATGTAATATATAATTAGATTAGATTAGATTAGACTGCTTTATTTAATTAGAGTTTCTTTTCGCGATAATTTCCACGAATTCTAACTTCTGTTGTATATCATGTGAATGATGTTGCGTCAACGCATCGTACACATGTGTACGTATACGCGCAGTGTTAGACGCAGGTTTAACAATAGACATCGGCACGCACGTCGTTGACACGCGTCGATGAATGTAGATTGCGTGAAGCGGATATGTACAAGAACTCACCAGTTGTGTCGCGTAAATCTTCGTTGAAAACGTGTACTTCCCACATCCCTTCCCCCGGATAGAGTATACGCGCCCTTACCCCTGGCGTCTTCCGCGAGAATGCTAATTAACAATTGGCAATTCGCAGGCGGCGCGCGACGAAATCGTAAAACGGTACGTTACCGCGCGGCGTAACAAGGCGTGAAGAGTGAATTAGATGGTGACGTCACGGATTTACCGAAAACGCGTTTCGTCGACGTCGTGAAGCGATCGGCAGTAGCAGCTACTAACAACGACGCGCGGAAAGAGAAGCGCAAAGCGAGACGGAAAGGAAGAGAGAAGAAGGCAACAGATCTCCCTGCAGGCTCGTAAACTGGCGCAATGGCCCTGAGAAGAGGGGTTTCGTCGAGACCAAAAAGCGGACGGAGGTCGTCAATGTTGATGATGCGTGGATCACGATGTACTGACGGCTCCATCATAGCCCCCGTCTCTTGCGCGTACCTTCTCCCCGTTCCTCTTCTCTTTCTTCTGCTCTTTTCTATTCTATAGAAAAATATAGAGCGACCTACTCCATTTGCTTTATTGAAATAACGCGAAGGGCCCAACCGCTTTCATTGCGATCGGCACGTTTCACCGCGATGATCGAATTTTATTACGACGATTTTCGAAGATTTACTTTTGACCGTCCGACACACAAGAGGGTGTCCTCGAGGATTTTCTAAAGATTATATAAACTGTTTACGCTTTATAATTTATTACTGAGACGTGACAAATAATATTTACTTTATAAGAAAGAGAAAAAAGTCTTTTTTTTTACTGATATGTGAAAGTAAATATCTTTAGATAACAAGAGAGAGTGTGCTCTGCGCTAATCAGTTTTCAATTTTTCATTATATTTTAATCGTATCACCGGTGGTGTTTACAATTACTCGTGAAATCATACAGTGTTATAAACATATATATATATATATATTTACGGAAAAGTCAGGCACACGTAGAGATCAGATAGCACTCATGCTGACTACGAAATAGATCGCGCAGCTATTACCATATGTTGTTTTCTGCTTAGCATATTCTTGGCGGGACGACAACGAGGACGGGTTTTGCTGCATTCCGATTAAGTCCGTAATTATAACGAACCTTGAGTTCAACGGTTATTGTGCACTTTGCTATTGCGGAAATACAGCTGCTTCTGGCGTGCGCTGTACGTCGTATTTCTAGAGACGATGCCGGAAACGTCGTCTATTTCTGTTTAAATTATTACGGTTACAGTTGAGAACCGGTCTTGTGTGTATTAACAAATATATTTTTCGCGAGTATGAAAATTCTGTGCGCTGTATCGGAAACAACATCACACGAAAATGGCGAAATCCGATATATCGTTTTATTCAACTGCGCAAAAATACATTCTCGGACAAAAATAACGTTACGTTTGTTTCGGGAAAGGAAAACGTTACACAATTTAAGGAGTAACGAATCTAATACTCAGATACCGCCGCTTTTGCGTGATGTCATTTCTGAGAATATAAATATATTTTTTTGATAATATGTTTCTTGAAAACCGCAACGTGGCGAGGTATAACATCATCACCCTAAATAACAGCCAATTAACATTCTGTGTTATATTTAAAAACGATATCACGCGGAAATTGCGGTTTCCGTTATATCGTTTTATTTGTTGAACTGCGCAAAACTTTGTTTCCGAAATTATATTAGAAATGACATCACGTGGAAATTGCGGTTTCCGTTATACCGTTTAAATCTTTTGAACTGCGCAAAACTATGTTTCCGGGAAAAATGACGTCATTTTATTCCAAAAAAATTACGCAATTTCAAAAATAATAAATCTAAATACACAGATATTACCATTTCCGCGCGTGGTGTCATTTCTAAGAATATAAACATATTTTTTGCTTGATAATATGTCAAAAATTGCAGACGTGGCGAAGTATAACACGATCGTCACCCTAAATAACAGTTCTGTGTTATATTTAGAAACGATATCACACGGAAATTGCGGTTTCCTTTATACCGTTTTAATTGTTGAACTGCGCAAAACTATGTTTCCGGAAAAAAAAATGACGTCATTTTATTCTAGAAAAATTACGCAATTTTAAGATAACAAATCTGAGACGCAGTTATTGCCATTTCCGCGTGATAAATATATTATTTTGACTAAAAAAATGAACTCGAAAAATGCAAACGTGACGAAATACAATTATTAACCTAAACAAAAAATCACAGAAATGAAACATATACCAAGATAATGAAACACAACACTTGTCACGCACTATTCTTATTCATAAAGAAATGAGAAAACTCGGTACAAATAATACGGATGTACGGACACTTGATTGAGACAATTAACCGAATAGCTTAGTAATAAACGGTGAAGTGTTACTGACGTTATGGCCCTCAGTTCGTCTCATACCGACAGAAGAGATATTTACTTTATGTAGATTAGATGAAGAGATTTGTTTAAAATATTTTCGAGTAAGACACATCTATACTAGACGCTCTTCCACGAAGTTTGAAGATTTAACATCGGATCGTTTGCTCGTCTTATCGCATGAAACGATACCGTCGACAAATGGCCGTCGCGACTCGACTTGAATAATATATACAATTATTGAGATAGCGCTGGGCGCGTTCCATTGTAGAAACGAAAACAATAAATGAATAGAAGTGTTATATGTATACATACACATATGTACATATGTATATATATATGTCAGAATGTACGTAAAATATAAGCGTAGTAAAGTCTCCTACGATATTTAGCATTTTAACATATAATTCTAAAATTTTATAGCGAGACGTCACAGATGAATAGAGGGAAAAAAGATATGTCACGTTTTATCATTTTATAATAAAGTTACGCTACTATGTAGTAATATTTCTCTCTATCAAGTGGCGTAGAGAAACGTCGCGCTTCGTTTAAACGATAAGATAATAATATTTTTAAGAGACGAGAAGGAAGCGTATCGTAAGCGCGAGGATCGTTTATCTGTGTTGTTAGAAAGATTATATACAAAATATCTATCAGTATATGTGTACTGTTTTAACGTTACAACAAATACCTGCTGAAAGCTTATGCGACAAAATGAAAACACCAGCTGGTAATCTACTCTAAAATGATTGACGCGCGATTATCTATAAAGTGTCCGACTCGTCTTTCTCGTCCTCTCGTCGTATATCCGGGTGTCGTCACATATTGACGCCTCCACTTTATTCAATTGCTCATCCGACACAAGCGCTGTCGACACTTTGGCTCGGAGCTCAAACATGTTTTTTCGCTTTTGCTCATTTCCGGGGCGAATGCCCGGCATCCTGCGCGAGTTCCGGGGCCAACAGGAGTACAGCGCCACGTCTACACGACGACGACAACGAGCTATTTAGTTCTCGATCACCCCTGGGGAACGTTTCGGAAAAAAAAGCGGAGTGGATGGCCAACGAAAGACGGAAGAACAGAGAGAAAGAGAAAGAAGAGATTGATCCCCCGAAGGGAGGGTCCGCGCCAGCGTGGATCGGTAATTTTTTCCTCATCAGGCAATGCTCCGGGAATTTCATTGGTAATTAAAAGTCACCGGTCTGTGTGATTGGAATTAATGGTCAAATGGTCAATCTGCCCGGAGGGAAAAAAACTCGGCTGTAAAATCGTCTCCGTGCTTTGCCTCGACTCGATTTGTATTTTGATGGCACACGTACCGATACGTGCAAGTTTTGCGCGACACTTTTGAGCGACGTCACAATAGTTGTTTCATTATTTCAAACTCTTCGGTTTGTTATTTTCGGTGATTTATAAAAGCGAGGAAATTCGCGTTAATATATCACCGCAACGTTTCAGAAACAACTGCGCTCGGGACGTTGTTTACGTTGTTGATGCAATTCTACGGTTCTCGATTTATTTACATTTGTTTGATAACGTGTCATTTTGTTGTTACACGCGAATTAAAAATTTTTTTTCGAATTAGCGCAATAAAATTTATAACACAAGAGAAAAGAATTCTATAGTTTCAGAAAATTAAACATTTTATACAATATTCTCATTTAACTTCTTTGAAAAACGATTCTTTCGGATAAAAAATATGTTCTCATTACTTAAAAAAAAGAAAAGTTCTCGAGTACCGGTGATACACCGATTATCATAAAGCCCCGTCGTTGGCAACGATAAAAGGCTTTCGACTCGCCCATCCGTCTACGCGGAAACCTCAGTGTGCGCGGGGAGAAATTCTTTCGCAACGCTTCTCCAACCCCTTGACATTTTCTCGCGGTGGCTGGCATGGACGAGCACACACGAGGGGGTCGCTTTCGGCGTCTATCTGTCATTACGGGAGATTTGTGCTCGTCCGAACTGAAGCTCGACCTTCTGGGCCACGTTACGATTATGGAGCTCTTTCTCTCTCTCTTTGTTCCTCCCTCCGCCGCGTTTCCACCCCTCGCTTTGGCAAAGCGAGGGTGGCGTAATCGTCGGCGAGCGTATATATAACAATCCCGAAGGCATATAACACGGTAGGTGGAGGTACGGAGAAGGCATAAATGCTGCCGAGGCGAGGCCCGGAAATGGTGAAAGTAAAGTAGAGACGATATCGAGGAAACTAGGAAGACGCGCGATCGCGGTGGTCGTAAGTGCCGCTCGGCAAACGCACGCGGGACCATATGGAATTGTTTATGAACCATGCGGCTTTATTCTCCTTCACTCTATCCGCGTCGCTTTTCCGGAATTCCGTTGATGCGTGACGGACGGTTTGACTCGTCGGAGAGGAAATTCCACGTCAAATGGGAGATTTTTCCAATAGCGTGAGCATTACGTTTATATTTACGATAAAAGCGCGTCAGTGGTATATTATTATACACGGGGTATTGTAATTTATTTTATTGCAAACGCAAAACTGAAGACAATTACGAAGATACTATTACTAGATTGAGAATTTATTTTTACCGCAACAGATATTTAAGTCTCTATTTTTTTTTGTTTTAAACATTGAATTGGATGTGAATAGCAATGTTCGATTTTCATACGTTGAATATTGCATATGCAAGAGAAATATGACGTGAGACACTTAGAATCTCGTTATCATAATTTTGAAGCTTCCGACCAATCGGGAAATGTACGACGGTGGCGCGATTTGACAGAGATCTCCTCGACAGCGAGGAACTTCGTTATAATTTATGAGGGTTTTATAACGACTTTGAAGAATGGGAGGCGGCGCGGTAACGAGGTCACTCGACATAATTATATTTGGGAAGGGATTTTCCTTTCCCGCGAGCGAGGTGGAAGCGAGACTCCCGAAGACGAGGAAAAGTGGGGTAACTCACTTTTCTCATCGAGATGTAAAGTCAGTTCGAGAGGGCGGTTATGCGTAATATTGATGGACAGTGACTCCGCTGTTATCGGTCGCCCACCGGAGGGGTAGTTTATCATCCGGGAACGAGCGCGCATTACGCCTCGATTAATCTTCGATATTTATATTAGGTCTTCATTAAATAAAATATTCTATCGACGCGAAGAGTAAGGGAGAGGGAGGATTGTGCATGGGAGTGCCACTCGATGTTGCTCTTTACCGGGAAAGTTCATCGCGTGTCGTCCGAGAAAAGAAGGGAAACTTTCCATTATCGAAGCTGCCACGTTTCTCCTAAACTTAGATTTATGTTCTGTCGCTTCATGATTCTTTATAACACCGCCTCAGAAAGAAGAATGTTTGTACACGCTTCTTTCTCACATTTTTACAAGGAGCATATTTCAGCGCAGTGATATATTATAAGCAAACAGCATTAGAGATTTTTTGTCGTGCGATTCACATAATTAAATGGTGGATTTGACGAGGAGAATCCTTCGGTTTAGTGTGGAAAATCCAATGAAAATAAAGTCACAAGGCGTTACTGAACAACATTGCGGGATGTTATGCCAGGATAAATTTAAAAGTGGTCAATATTTGATCCTATACGTTTCGATTATATGTTTAGTCATCTTCAGTGGGTACTTAATTCACAGCACTAAGAATTGACGATGTGAGACTAAATTTTTCACAGTGAGTGTTTACGTGTTTACCTCTTCGTCAAGACTGTAGTAAACACGTAAACACTCACTGTGAAAAATTTAATCTCACATCGTCAATTCTTAGTGCCGTGATTGAATTAAGTATCCACCGAAGATGACTAAACATATAATCGAAACGTATAGGATCAAATATTGACCACTTTTAAATTTATCCTGGCATAACATCCCGCAATGTTGTTCAGTAACGCCTTGTGACTTTATTTTCATTAAATTACATTTGTTTACAAAAAAAAGATTTATTTTTTCGCGATTCTATTTAATAGTCTATTATATTTAATAAGTTCATTTTATATATTTTGTACATACATATGTTGCATTTCTTAACATATTTCTCGTCTCCGCACGCGATATCGCGATTCCTCTTCCCGACGGAAATTTCAAGTATGCCATTTCGGAGCGCTGTATGCGCGATAAAATCTGTCGGAACGAAGAAAACGGCACCCACCTTCTTTCTTCTCGGAGCACTCGCTCGCACGGAACTTTATTTTGCCGATCCAAAGGAGCCGGAACGCGAT